GGGGTTGCCTGATGTCAAAGGTAAAATGAACGGGAAAAAACTGCCAAAGTTTGGTGGGTTCCAAAACAGCAAATTTACATTTGGGTCCAACTCATACCACTGTTTTGATGGTTTTCACCACAGGTTCTTAAATTCTATAGTATTTTGCTAATATAATATAATCATGCTTTAAAAGAGTTGAAATATGCAGAAAACACACTTTGTCAACTTGTATGGTTTGATTTTCAAATTCAGAGCTATATCACTCATCAAGATGATTTTTCTCATAATGTGATTTGATATGCCGTATATTTATTTTGATTAAAAAAAGCCTGGCAGCATGCTATACTAAAAGTAAAAGGGGTTTTTTTTCCATGTCCATTTCTATGATATTGACGCCATCTGATTAGTAGAAAACTGTGCGTATGAGAGTGCCCAATAATGTATGACGAACAAAATTGTTATGACATATAACTGTTACTATAGATGTTTAAGATAATTATAGATGTTTGTGAAGGATTTGAGGGCAATGATGACTTTAGAAATGACGGTGGTGGTGAAGTGATGATGTGGGATGGTGTTTATGTATATAATTATTAAGAAGACATGCTTCTGTCGGTTGTTCTTTTTTGTTTGTTGTTTTTAAAAAAATCATGTTAGCGTTGATCCGATCTTCCTCTGCTCTGATGGGTCATGAGGGATATGGGCACCCGCTACCCCGTTCCCCACTCATCTTCATTGCCTTTCTCACCCTGCACCAGGTTATAGGCCACGGACAAACACTTTCTCACCCTGCACCAGGGTATAGGCCACGGACAAACACCCTCCACTTTTCTCTATCCTGGGCTAGCCTCTTGATGTTATTCCATGTCTTCCCATTTTCTGTACATCGATTTCTGTGATTCTTCTTCAGGTTCCACGAAGTCTTCCCCTTGATCTCTTACCCTGTGGGTTCCAATCCAAAACTTTCTTTGTTATGCAGCTGCCCGACTTCCTGAGAGTATGTCCAATCCATCGCCACCGCCTTCTTCCTACCTCATCTCTGACTGGGATCTGTCTTGTTTTCTTTAACACTTCCACATTGGTGACCCTGTCTGTCCATCTGATCCTCAGTAACTTTCTTAGACACCTGTTCAAGAAAA